AACCCTAAACCCTAAACCCTAAACCCTAAACCCTAAACCCTTAAACCCTAAACCCTAAACCCTAAACCCTAAACCCTAAACCCTAAACCCTAAACCCTAAACCCTAAACCCTAAACCCTAAACCCTAAACCCTAAACCCTAAACCCTAAACCCTAAACCCTAAACCCTAAACCCTAAACCCTAAACCTCCTCGCCTCGCTCGCACCGGACCCTGGTGGGGGGGGGGGGGGGTTCCGAACCCCCCCCCCCCCCTTTTTCAAAGGGGGGGGGGGGGGAGGGGTTCGACCCCCCCCCCCCCCCCTTAAAGGGGGGGGGGGAGGGGGGGGGGGGGGTTCTCGGACCCCCCCCCCCCCTTAAGGGGGGGAGGGGGGGGGGGGTTCCCTGGAGCACACCCCCCCTTCTGTGTCTTCCAGGTGATCCACTGGCGCTCTTTCCTTGTGAGCATCTACACATGTTCTTATGAGGTGGATGGTGAAAGAAGGGTAAACAACATACGCACGAACCGAACTGTCGAAGGTCCGCGCAGACTTCTCGGATAGGCGCTGGAGCCCACTGGCGGCGCCTCCAGCGCCGATCCCAGAAATCAGCGCGGAGCACCGAACGTGGATGTCTTCGGGCGTAGCCCGAACTTGTTTCTCGCGAGGTAGACTGACTGAACTGAACTGACTGGTCGCACCGGTTACGCGACGGTTTTCTTCTCGCCCGCCGAGGGCGCAATCTATGGCGCAACCGATCGGAGACGGTTTTATTCTCGGCCGCCGAAGGCGCAACCTATGGCGCAACCGATAGGAGACGATTTTCTTTTCGGCCGCCGAGGGCGCAACCTATGGCGCAACCGATGGCAGACTCGGCCGCCGAGGGCGCAACCTATGGCGCAACCGATAGGAAACGGTTTTATTCTCGGCCGCCGAGGGCGCAACCTGTGGCGCAACCGATCGGAGACGGTTTTATTCACGGACGCCGAGACGGTTTTATTCTCGGCCGCCGAAGGCGCAACCTATGGCGCAGCAGATAGGAAACAATTATGTTCTCGGCCGCCGAGAGCGCAACCCATGGCGCAACCGATCGGGGACGGTTTTATTCTCTTGCACAAAGTGTTTAGAGCTCCGACTACATTATTCCGTGTCGCAGCGCGCCCCCTCCTGCCTCGCCCCCCTCCTACCCCTCCCCAGAATTCCCCAGTGGCCCAATGAAACCTTCGCCCAAGGCCCCCGCCGCCCAGACCACTTTAATCCGCGTCGCACCGCACCCGCCCCCCTTCGCAGCCCACCTCCCACCCTTCCCCATCCCCCCTGCCCGCCCCGCCCCCCTCTTACCCCTCCCCAACGTTCCCTAGTGGTCCAAAGGAACCTCGGCCCAATGCCCCCTCCGCCCAGACCATTTTATTCCGCGTCGCACCGCGCCCGCCCATCCCTTCCCCGCCCCCCTCCCGCCCCTCCACAGCCCCGCCCCTGCCCGCTCCCCTCCCGACCCTCCCCAGCGTGCCCCAAAGGTGCAATGGAACTTCCGCCCAATGCCCCCTTCCGCCCGACCATTTTATTCCGCGTCGCACCGCGCCCGCCACTCCTCTCCCAGCCCCCCTCCCACCGCTCCCCGGCCCCAGCGGTCCAGTGGAACTTCCGCCCAGTGCCCACTCCGCCCCGACCATTTTATTCCGCGTCGCACCGCACCCCCCCTCCTCCTCTCCCCAGCGTTCCCCAGAGGCCCGATGGAACCTCCGCCCAATGCCCCCTCCGCCTCGACCATTTCATTCCGCGTCAAATCGTGCCCCCCTCCTCCTCTCCCCAGCGTTCCCCAGAGGCACAATGGAGCCTCCGCCCAATGCCCCCTCCGCCTCGACCACTTCATTCCGCGTTTCACCGCGCCCCCCCCCCCTCCCTGTCCGCCCCCCTCACAACTCCCCATCGTGCCCCAACGGCCCAGTGGAACGTCCTCCCAGTGCCCCCTCCACCCCAACCACTTTATTCCGCGTCGCACCGCACCCGCTCCCCCGCTCCCCACCCCCCTCCCGCCTCTCCCCAGCCCCAACGGTCCAGTGGAACCTCCGCGCAGTGCCACCTCCGCCCCGACCACTTTATTCCGCGTTGCACCGCACCCGCCCTCCTCCTCTCCCCAGCATTCGCCAGAGGCCCAGTGGAACTTCCGCCCAGTGCCCCCTCGGCCTCGGCCAGTCTATTCAGCGTCGCACCGCGCCCCCCCTCCCCGCCCCCCTCCCAACCCTCCCCACCGTGCCTCAACGGCCCAGTGGAACCTCCGCCCAGTGCCCCCTCCGCCTCGACAATTGCATTCGCGTCGCACCGCGCCCACCCTCCTCCCCGCCCCCCTTCCCTTCCTTTCCCAGCCCCAGCGGTCCGGTTTGAACCTCCGCCCAGTGCAACCTCGACCCTCCGTCCAGTGCCCCTCCGCCTCGGCCATTGTATTCTCGTGCACAGGGTACCTAGAGCTCCGACCACTTTAGCGTCACACCGCCCTCACCGCCCCGCCCCCCCCCCCGCCCCTCCCTCCACCCACCCACACCAACCATCACCACCACCAACATGACACCGCTCCCCGTCCAGTGATCTCTCCACCCAGCCCCCCTCCGCCTCGACCACTTTATACGCCAATCACTACCGACACCAGCGTGACACCGCCCCCCGTCCAGTGCCCTGTCCACCCCGCCCCCTTCCGCCACGAATACTTTACGCACCAACCACCACCGCCACCACCACCACCAGCGCGACACCGCCCCCGACCAATGCCCTCCCCACCCCTCCCCCCTCCGCCCCGCCACCCCAACCCTTCCCCCCCTCCCCAGCCGCCCAGTGCCCTCTGCACCCCGGCCCCCTCCGCCCCGACCACTTTCTTTCGGCGTCGCACCGCCCCCGCCGCCCCGCCCCTCCCGCCCCTCCACCCACCCACCACCACCACCACCACCACCACCACCACCACCACCACCACCACCACCACCACCACCACCACCACCACCACCACCACCACCACCACCACCACCACCACCACCACCACCACCACCACCACCACCACCACCACCACCACCACCACCACCACCACCACCACCACCACCACCACCACCACCACCACCACCACCACCACCACCACCACCACCACCACCACCACCACCACCACCACCACCACCACCACCACCACCACCACCACCACCACCACCACCACCACCACCACCACCAGCGCGACCCCCTCCGCCCCGACCATTGCATTTCGGCGTCGCACGGCCCCCACCGCCCCGCCCCCGCGACCCTTTTCCGCTCCCCGCCCGCCCGCCCAATGCACCCAGCCCCCACGTCCGCCCCGACCATGTTATTTCAGCGTCGCACTGCCCCCGCCGTCCCGACTCCCCGACACTTCTCAGATTTTTCGTCCCCCCGCTTACCCCCTTTCCTCCTCCTCCTCTTCCTCCTCCTCCTCTTCATATTCCTCCTCTCCTCCTCCTCCTCCTATTCCTCCTCCTCCTCCTATTCCTCCTCCTCCTTCCCCTCCCTGTCGTGCAAGAGCCATTGCACGCGTACCACTTGTTCTCGGCCGCCGAGGGCGCAACCTATGGCGCAACCGCTAGGAAACGGTTATATTCTCGGCCGCCGAGGGCGCAACCTATGTCGCAACCGATAGGTGACGGTTGTCTTCTCGCCCGCCGAGGGCGCATTCTATGGCGCAACCGATGGGAGACGGTTTTATTCTCGGCCGCCGAGGGCGCAACCTACGGCGCAACCGATAGGAGACGATTTTCTTTTCGGCCGCCGAGGGCGCAACCTATGGCGTAACCGATGGCAGACTCGGCCGCCGAGGGTGCAACCTAGCACGCAACCGATCGGAAACGGTTTTATTCTCGGCCGCCGAGAGCGCAACCTATGGCGCAACCGACCGGGGACGGTTTTATTCTCGGCCACCGAGGGACCTATGGCGCAACAGATAGGAAACCATTCTATTCTCGGCCGCCGAGGGCGCAACCTATGGCGCAACCGATGGGAGACGGTTTTATTCTCGGCCGCCGAGAGCGCAACCTACGGCGCAACCGACAGGAGACGGTTGTATTCTCGGCCGCCGAGGGCGCAACCTATGGCGCATCCGAGGTGCCAGGAGAAGGATGAGCAGGAGGAGGAAGAGGAGAAACGAGGACGAGGTCTTAGACGAGGACGACGAGGAGGAGCTGGAGCAGGAGGAAGACGAGGAGGAGGACGAGGAGGAGAAGGACGACGACGATCAGGATGGGGAGGAGAATTTGGAGGCATACGAGTAGTACGAGGACGAAGTGTGGGCATTCGAATGCGTGCGGGGCTGCGCCCGATTTATGCTCGCCATTTGGGCTGGCGGTGGGGCCCAGGCGGCGAGCTGTCTTGTGATTATGTACTTGTAATTCTCCCCGAAATCCCTGACCCTTTGATGAGTGCCAATTCTTCACCCCGATTCGTTCTTTGACGGTCCCGAGACCCGGCGAGGGCACTCCGATGCCGAGAACGGCCAAACACTCCCCGTCGTGATTTTCGAACGACGCAAAGATATCAAGGGAGGCTCAGGATAAGTGATCAGTCAGCATCGAATCGGGAAATTTCATCGAATCGGTATGTGCGTCGGATCGGGCCGCATCGGCACGGAGTCGAAATCGAATCGGATCGGCTGCGCCAGGATGCACAACAGCGCCACGCAAGCATCGGACCGCATCGGATCGCTGGGGAACCCGCATCGAATCCGATCGCTCTGGCCGTGATCGGCATCGTATTGGACCGATCGGATCGAAATGAGCCCTGGAGGACGAGAGAAGCGAGAGGGTTGAGAGGGTGTGGGGGAGACTGGGGAGACCGAAAAGTACCGATACCGGCTCCCCGGACCTCTCCCGGGGTGAGTTCGGACTAGAACTTCGGGGCGAACGCAGCAGTAGCAACGAGGTCCTCTCAGGAAGCCCAAGAAGGCGGAAACGAGAGAAGGGTAGCGGTGATGGTACCTTTCCCTCCTCTGAGAGCCCTGAGCCCCCGCGAGCCCGGCGGGGCCTCGGGCCCGGGTCTGACATCGCCTGCGCGAACGGCGCGCCCAGGAGGTGCTCGGGCTCGGACTGCGGATCCTGGCCGCGGGGGGCCCAGCCGCGCCTCGCGCGCTGACGTCGACGCCGCCGCCGCTCGCCGTCGCCATCGACGTGGGTGTCGTCGATATCGTCGCCCGTCACCGCCCGTCGTCGTCGTCCACTGAAATGCTGAGATCCGGGCGTCGCAATTTTGCCACGCTGGGCGCTTTCGGTGGGATTCGGGCCCCAGGATCGACGCCGCCGTCTTCGTCGTCATCGTTGTCGTCGCCGTCGCCGTCATCGTCGTCGTCGTTGTCGGTGATATCGTCGCCGTCGTCGGCCGTCATCAATGGCTTCGCCTCTCGTCGTCATTCTCGTCGTCGTCTTCGTCGTTGTCCACGTCGTGGCCGTTGTCGGTGTCGTCTGGCCCGGGAAGCGCTCGGCGGCGGCACGGACAGGCTCAAAGCGAGGCGGCCTGGGCCGTGCAAGCATGCTGCTCGTGGCCGAACAGGCCGCTGGCGTGTGAGCGGCGAAGAGAAACTCGCACAATACACGAGGAGAGGCTGTGCGCGGCAGGGGGGCGGTCAGAGCGTGAAGTTCTGCGTCGAACTGGAAGTGCAGCCAGACGAAGATACGCCCAAGTACGAATCAGTCGTGCGAAGGACAGCAAATGCAATAGCGACAACTCCACTCACTAATAGCCAAAGCGCGAACCAGGATCACAAAAAAGTTCAGTTCAGTCAGTTCAGTTCACCCTGCGCGCCGGCTCAGGAAGAGCGGTCCCCTAAGGGGCAAGCGGGGCAAAAAATGCACAGCGTGTGGAAAATAACGCACGCAGGTCGCTTCATCGCAGACCGCCGCCGCAGACTCTTATGCACATGACCCAAGAGACCGCCCGAGACCAGACCCACAGGGGCCTGGGGGAGAGCCCAGGAAGCAGGAACAAAAGGGCGAAAAGGAGGAGGAGGAGGAGGAGGAGGAGGAGGAGGAGAGGAGGGCAACTAGGGATAATATACTGCACTTGCTCACGTAGACAATCATGCCAACGCATGTGAGGCCGTCCAACTCGTCGTTGGGGTTGGCATCGGGACCACGGGCGCCACTTCAGCAGTTTATGGTTCCACTTCTCCGGGTCCCCTTCGGACGCTTGCTCTGCGAATCTGGCCTTTCGGGCTCTTCGTGTTGCAGCCCAACTTTCGTGCTCCCCTTCGGCACACTTCGAATCCACACGTATTGTTGCTCTCTGTATATACTCTACCCACGGCTCGTTTTCAGCGCGTGGAACCCAAAATATGTGTCTCGTCATCTTTCGCCATGTAGTCCGCAGCTTACGTCTGGAGCTCGCAGTTAAAGTCCAACACTCACATGCATACAAAGCCATCGGTGCTACAACGGCGTCAAACAAACTTGAGTCTGGATTTGAGTGGATATGACCAGGAACACAATATTTATTTGAATTTTGCGAAGCATTGCCACGCTGAATTCAGTCTGTTCACACATTCAGCCTCGTCTTCCCCATGTGCACCTTTAGTCCATACTTGGATGCTTCTGGAGGTCCGACAACATTTCGGCTACACCCGCCACTGAAAAACACTGACAAACTGCCACGCAAAGGGTGCCCCCAGGGAATGGGCACAAGCGTCCAGGGAGCAGTCAAGCTGCAACACGTGGCAAAGGGCGGGCCACCAGGTGGCAAGTGCGTAGGGCGCTGGCCAGGGAGGAAATTACAACACGAAATGAGTGCAACGGGAGGAACCTCCGGGTCGTGGATTGACCGTGCTGCCGACGTGGCACGCAACGTGGAGAGTTTCTTGAGTTATGTTCGGTGGCGGTCGTTGCCCCGGGGGGATGGTCAGGTAACAGGAAAGCTTGGGCAGGGTTGGCCACGTCGGGGCGGGGGTGCGACGCGATCGCCATACTTTGCGCGCGGGCACCAGCATGTGTGGGGGGGTCCATCCCATACGTACTGTCGTTACCAGGGGGGGAGGGGGGCTCGGCCTACGTAGGCAACGATCGTAACGCGCCAGAGGGTAAGAAACAATCTCCGACCTGAACTACGCGGAACGCTCACGCGAGAATGTCGGCGCAAGCGAATCCGCTTTCTTCTGTCGCTCATTTGCAAACGGAAACTTTCTCGATAAAGCAAGGCCAATCGACATCGAATCGGAAGCTCGAAACGGGTCGAAACGACCGTCAAATCGGGCCGCATCGGCACGGAGTCGGAATCGAATCGAATCGGCTGTGCCAAAATGTGCAAGAGCACCGTGCAAGCACTGGGACGCATCGGATCGGTCGATGTTGAGGTTACCGTTGCCGAGGTTGGAGCATCAATGGTTTTGAATGTGTTCCTGACTTTTCGGGGCTCCAGGGTGGTTCTCCTCATCGCCGCGGCTGGATTCCCCTATGCAGAATTTGGCCCGAACGCATCCCAGGTGAGGGATGGAGTGTCGATCTTCAAGGAAAATGCCTCAACCTTCTGACCGCGCTCGCACGGCGACATCGGCGGCGATGTCGACGTCGTATGTTTAGATGTTTGGGGGCTTGTCTGAAGGTTCCCGCTGCCGCGGCTGAGCGCGGCTCGAAAAACTAGGCAAGACGGACCCTGGGCGGAGTCCGCGGACAAATTCCGAGCAGATTTCGCACCAGGGGGTCGGGTGGTGCGCCCCGAGATCATGGGGCTCGAGCAAATCGAAGTGGCGCTTTTGTTCCCCATTCAGGGCCTCTGGGGGTCGAGAGCTCCAGTTGCCCACGTCTCGAAAACATCGAACCGCGTGATGCCTGGGCACGCCGAGGTCCACCTTTCCTTCCAGCGGGTGCTCCATCAGGGGACGTTTCACATTAGCGGCGCTCACGAGTATTCCTGTATGCGATCGTGCCTGGCACGAAGAAACTGGTGCAGATGCGTTCCGCGCACCACCCAACTCAATCTGGACAGATCTGGCGGCCTCCCCCTGGGCCTCCTGGACCCCAGAGGCCTCCAAGACGGCCTCCGAAGTCTCCAGAATGCGCCCAAAGACAGCCAAACAGGCCCTCTGGGGGCCCTCTGCGGGCGCTACTTGGGACATCGTGGGGGCAGGGTGCCCTGGGGGAGTCCCTAGTCGGACTACGGGGGTCTTGGGGGATCGTCGAGTCCCTGGATTGGGTCTTGGGGTCGTCTGAGGGGCGCCTTTGGCGGATATCGTGCACGCCGCAAGGCGCTAGCGCCAACGATGCGAGCCTCGTGACCCCGCAGCTAGGGAGCAACATGGGGGAAAAGAGTGGACGGAAGGAGAGAGGAGTTGAGGAAGGGATGGAGGGATGGGGGGTGGATGGGGGTGAGGAGGGGAGGGGGGGAGGAGGAAGAGGAGGAGGAGGAGGAGGAGGAGGAGGAGACTGTTGCGTCTTGACGATCTTGAATCGCGCCATGAACACCATTCCTGAGACTTCAACAGTCGCGCCCCCATAATCCTGAATCCTTCAAGAATATAATGTTTGGCACGCTGACCATGGGAACCCGCGAAACTCTTGCACACGTTTAAAACGAACGTGCGCGGCGCTAAGGCGAGAGCCACATCTTGAGCCCTCAATCCGTGAAGCTCTTGCAATGTGTCCAACCATCCTGTAGTGTTGGGTCCTCGTTTTGAAGAGACGGACCCCGCGTTCCTCCTTCCTCCTTCCTCCCTCCTCCTCTTCCTCCCCCTCCTCCCCCCTCCCTGCGTTTCGCCCACCCAGCGCAACGCTTCGTGACCCCATAAATAGCTCCACCGGAGGCCCCAGTGGCAGGGTTCGCATGGCTGCCTCGGGCCATGTCGGCACGCCCCTTCACAAGGATCATGGCCCCATAGGATTTCCACCGAAATCGCCAGTGGCCCCGGGCCATGTTGGCACACCCCTCACGACAATCGTGGCCCCACAGGGAGCCCCGCCGAAGGCGCCACTGGCAGGGATCGCATGGCGGCCTCGGGCCATTTCGGCACACCCCTCGCGAGGAACGTGGCCCCATAGGACCTCCACCGAAGGCGCCAGTGGCAGGGTTCGCACGGTGGCCTCGGGCCATTTCGGCACACCCCTCACGAGGATCGTGGCCCCATAGGGAGCTCCACCGAATGCCCCAATGACAAGGTTCGCATGGCTGCCTCGGGCCATTTCGGCTCACCCCTCGCGAGGATCGCGGCCCCATAGGAGCTCCCCAGTGGCAGGGTTTGCATGGCGGCCTCGGGCCATTTCGGCACCCCTCACGAGGATCGTGGCCCCATAGGAGCTCCGCCGAAGGCGCCAGTGGCACGGTTCGCACGGCGGCCTCGGGCCACGTCGGCGCGCCCCTCGCCGGGATCGTGGCCCCATTGGAGCTCCACCGAAGGCCGCGATGAAAAGGTTCTCGTGGCGGCCTCGGGCCATTCCGGCGCGCCCCTCGCGGGCATCGTGGCTCCATGGGAGCTCCACCGAAGGCGCCAGTGGCAGGGTTCGCATGGCGGCCTCGGGCCACGTCGGCACACCCTTCGCGAAGATCGCTCCACCGAAGGCGCCAGTGGCAGGGTTCGCACGGCGGCCTCGGGCCATTTCGGCACACCCCTCGCGAGGATCGTGGCCCCATAGGAGCTCCGCCGACGGCCCCAGAGGCAGGGTCCGCACGGCGGCCGCGAGCCGTTTCGGCACACCACTCACGAGGATCGTGGCCCCATAGGGAGCTCCGCCGAAGGCGCCAGTGGCAAGGTTCGCACGGCGGCCTCGGGCCATGTGTCGGCACACCCCTCACGAGGATCAGGGCCCAATAGATGTGCTGCTTCAACAACCGCGCCTGGGCGTCGCACTCCGTTTTTGTCGACGTGCAACGCCACCTCCCTCCTCATGGCTCTCAGAACCCTCTCCTGCTTCTGCTCCTCGATCAGAGGGATGCCGTCCTCGTCGTCGTCGGCGCCCGCCAGGACGGCCACGAACGCGTCCCTGAGCATGTTGGGTTCCAGCGGGAAGCCGTGGCCACATAGGGAGCGCGGGCGAAGATGGTATTCACAAATACGGTATTCACAACTGCATATGGTTGAGTCCTTCGCCAGGCTAATTTACAACGAATGTGCGCGGCGCTACAGCGAGAGCCACATTTTGAAAACGACCCGCCCTCAAAGCAAAATGCCAAAAACGAATGCGCGCGTCGCTGAGGCGAGAGCCACATTTGGAAAATGAGCCGCCCTCAATCCGTGAAATTCTTGCAAATGTTTTTTTTAAGAATGCGCGCGGAACTGAAGCGAGAACCGCATGTTGAAAACCACCCGCCCTCAATCCGTGAAGCTCTTGCAAATGTTGGAACGAATGTGCGCAACGCTGCAGCGAGAACCACATTTCGAATACGACCAACCCTCCATGTGTGAAACTGCTGCAGATGGTGGGGAAGTCTCAAGCGAAACGCCCGGCCCGCCCTGAAAACTTCCCTGTGGGTGCGACAGGGGAGATTTTTCTACAAAGGGAAGGAATGGAGAAGGAGGAGGAGGAGGAGGAGGAGGAGGAGGAGGAGGGAATGGGAGAGGAGGGAAGAGGCGGGGCAAGTGGGGAACGATTCCCAAGACGGCTTTCGGCGGCCTGAGTCGGGACAGGAACGCCCTCAGATAGCCAAGGAGCCCTAAGATTGCCCCAAGATATCTTCGAGATGTGCCGAGAGGCCCCCAAGATGGCTCAACCTTGCTTTAATATCGCGTATGGCGGCCCATGAGGCCTCTAAGACTGCCCAAGAGGCCTCCAAGAGAACCCCTGAAGACGCCAACATTCCTCGTCCTCCTCCTCCTCCTCCTCCTCCTCCTCCTCCCTCTCCGATCCTCCCCATTCGTTCTCCCCCACGTGTTCTCCGAAGAGTGTCCAGAGCGGCTTGGGGGGAAACTTGACAAAGCTCTCACCAGACGCTTGGCCACTGAGGCGTCTCCCAAACAGGCGGGGGGGTCGATGATTCGCCGTAGGCGTCTGCGACTACATGCGGATCACATGCGCGCGTGCCTCCACGCGCGCACGCTGAAGCTACTCAGCACCATGGATGTTTTGACACATAAAAACGCACTTCTAGTCAACAGCGTGCCGCGAACTGGTCTGAATGACCAGTGCTTCAACTCCCCCCGGCATCATCGCTCGCCCGCACGAGCCGTAGACCTGCATGAGAAAGCCTGCGCGTGTCCGAGCGTGTCAAGGTGGACTAACGGGCTCCGCTGGGTAGATGGCTGCACTCACGGTCTCGTGAGCCGTGCTCGCAAATTGCGGCTGGGTGTGTGGGGGACGTGACCTAGAACAATCGGAAGTGGCACATTCAATTTCTTCAAACTACCTGCGAGACATTGGTTGCACCACGCAGGTTGCGTCCACCTATTGCACCACACTGCGCATCGAAAATGCAACAACCGATTGTTTAGTGCACATAATGGCAAACATAACAAGTCTATCATTCCCGTACCGATCCGTTTGTGCACATGTACACTCACCAACAACTGCGCAGCTGTTTTTGAACGCGCAAGCAAATATATGCTGGTGCTAACGCTAATGTTAGCTGGCACTAGCGCCCTGATGCATTCACGTAAACCTCCTCCTTATCCTCTCCCTCCCTGCCCATCTCCCTCTCCGCCTCCCCTCTCCTCCCGCGCCGCCTATATCGCTGCGGCGGTACGGACTTCGCGGCGCGTCAACGACAATGGGAGATGGGGAACGGAACGCCACCGCATCAGTCGGAAACCCGTGCTGCGCTGCAATGGCCGACATATTTGTCATGATACCCCCCCCCGCCAATCTGCGGCTTCAGGAGATACCCTAAAATCAAAGAGAAATGAAGCTGCGATCGGTCGTTCTGTTTTATGCCTCGCCCCAACTCGTGCCACGGAGACGTCATAGCTTCGAACTCCGATTGACGGAGGTCCTGTACCATCGACGCCATCGGCAACATCGACGCCCAGGGCATCAGCGACGCACGCTTCTTGACCAACTGGCCACGGCTTGCACGACGCCCATTCGCGCCTGCGGCACCAGCCCACACAGCCCCTCTTCCTTCTCCTCCACCTCTCCTCATTCCTTCGCCCCCCCATTTCCCTCTTCAACGGGGGAGCCGACAGGATGGGGACTGGCTCAGGGGGGAAACCATGCCATGGAATCAACGATACATCGCCGGCAGATCGGGGATCGGCTCCCGACAGCGTCACAGCACGTTCCTGGGAAGAGTGGGGAGCCAAAGGCCCGATCGACGGTGAACAAGCGATTGGGGGTCGATGTTACCTCCACCGAGACTTGTCCCCCCTGATTCTCTCCATCCCTCCCCCCAATGCCTTTCTCGGGAGGCATCCCAGATAGATCCGAGCGCATGGGGTCCGAGGATCGCGCGCCGCATCGCCGATGCATCGGCGACTTCTCGGCGACGGCGGGATGGAGAAGAACGGGCTCGATTGCGCCGCATCGCCGACCCATCGATGCGGCGCCGTCCCCCCACCTCATGGACTTTGGTCCCGATCGTCTGGGAAGCCAAGGTTCCCTTTCCCGCTCACCGTCTACCTCCTCACCTCCTCTTCCATCCCATCTCGCTCCCGCTCTTCCTCCGCTCCTTCTGCCACTCCTGCTGCGGGGGGGTGAGGAGAGACAGCGAAAGTGGGTAAAAGGTGTGGTCGGTTGCGTGCGGTGCGGGATCTGGACTCTGCGACGGCCACTGGCAGGAATGCACGAACCACACTTCCCGACAGTTCTGAAGCCCAAAATGCCGCGGACGAGAACGACGAGACGAGCTGTAGGAACTATCAGGCCGGTGATGACCTACATGTGGTTGAGAAGCGCTCTCGATTTCGAAATTGCTTCCTTTGATTTCGGGGAATAATCGTTATCCACGGGGGGGAAAAAGGGTTGGGGCCCCGAGCAGTGGTATCGCTCGGGCAGGGCACGTCGTGGCGAGGGGGTGCGCTGCGATCGCCACAACATTCGCACGAGCACCAACATGTGGGGGGGGGGGCGTCCAAGCCACCCCCCCATACGTAGGATCGTTACCGCTACCCCGGGGGCGACGGGGGTTGGCCGGGTAACGACCGTTACGCTTCGAGCAATCGAACGCAAATCCTGCGATCCGACGATGCGACACGCATGCATCATTGTGAACAACCACTGCCGGAACCCTAGGCCCGATCTTTTTGCGCGCCATTTCCTGAGCCCGAGCGGTCTGTGAGGGCCCCAGGGCCCGAATCTGGGCGAAACCGCCCGGCTCGAAACAATTGAGACGCCAGGACCTCAGGCGAAGCCAAGCTCACTCGCCTTGCCCGCCAACGACCGGTACGCGCCAGAGGATAACAGAACCAATCTCCTACATGTTGTTCTGGCTCGCTCTGGGTATTAGTGCGCCGAATTCGACTTCAAGTCGGACTCGGTGCTCTCTTACAATAGCAACATTGCCCCGCCTCCCTCCCTCTTCCCTCCCACACGCCAACCCCCCCCAGACGAGGCCCCTTAGGCTGCGAGCCCCCCTGGACCCACAGCTCGGGGCAGCCTCGCCCAGGCCAGAGAGCACGAATCGCGAGAGCCTCGGACAAGTTCTCGCTACACTCATGTCAGATTCGTCTGTCAAAATGCCCCCCCCCACTCCCACACCCCCGCGTGAGCAAAGCTGGCGGTGGCTCTGATGCCCTGCACTTCGAACGCAATCTTCCCCACGCGTGCCAACTTTCAAGTTGGGGGCCCAGCGCCGATCCGAGAAGTCCATGCGGAGCTCAGAACATTTCATGTTTTCTTCTTCTCCTTCGAGGCTTGGCGTTGTCTGGCTCGAGCGCAGGCTGGGAGCCCCAACCCCCGCCTCGCGCGGCGAGCAGGAGCCCAAGGTCGGCGAGGCGCGACAAAGACAATGGTTATGAGGCGAAGACAAGGCCGGGGCAAAATCGGACCAGGACACATCGGGAATCCCTCGTATCCGGCGTTTCTGGAGGATGCATCGGGCGCCGCGGCAGTTCCAGAGCGCTCTGCGACACTCTCGAAGCGTTCTGGAACGCGCTGGAGCGGTTCATCCTGGCCCTGGCCCCGCCCGAAGAAGGCCAGCCATGCGCCATCACCGACCGACCCCCCCGGGCCGGGGCTGTCCGGGAGGCCGCATCCCCGGAGCAACGCCGCCGCGGGCCCACGGTGGACTTCAACGGGGGGCACGGCGACCCCGATCCCCGACCCCGTGGGAGCTTCGGCTGGGCAAGCTAGAACTTCAGGCTGAGCTCGGGGACATGCAGTGGGCGCCTGCTCTATGAGATCTGGATACAAGAGATCTAAAAGCACGATGTTCAGTCGATTTCGGAGTTCGCTGGGAGCCATACTGAGCTCCACTGGGTGCCCGAAGTCGTCGCGGAATAGGATCTGTCCGTGGTGCACCAGCTGGCAGGCTAATTTCTTATTTGGCGCTCTGCTGTACGTTGCTTGGGCGTCCATCCCGAAAATGAGTGCGTCCGAATAGCTCCCGGGAGGGTGCATCCCCGAGTTTCCCCATCTTCTCTGAGCGGCCAGTTGTTCTTTGGGGAGCCTCGGGGCTTGGAGGCGAGCGATAGCCAGCCAGGCTCGTTCATGTCCTGGCCGCTGAAGCCAGTTCTCGTGCCAGAGCTAGAGGAAATAACTGCATACGAATAAACTTTCGGAAGTCCGCGTGGATCTGTTGGATCGGCGCTGGAGGCGCTGCCAGAGGGGCCCGCCGCGGATCCAAGAATTCCTCGTGGAGCTCTCAGTCCATGTTCGGATGTTGCTGGACGTGCCCCTGGCCCAAGGTGCCCCCAGCTCTTCGCTCCATTTTGGAGCCTCTGGGGCCCTCTGGGCCTCGCGAGGGGTGCTCTGGAGGCCGTGGGGGCCTCCATGGAGATCCTGGGGGCACCTTGGGCCAGGGGCACTTCTAGCAGCACCCCACGTGGTTGCTCCTTCTTTTCTTCGCAGAGCGCGCAGGAGCGGCAACCGCGCACGAAGCACCAGGCCCTGCCCAGGCCCCCCCCCCCCGCATCCGGGCAGGTTGCACCAGCGCGCCGACCTCTCCTCCCGAGGCTGGCGGCCCCCCCTGCCCCCTGTGAGACGACGAGGGCAGGGTGAACAGTGAAACCGACCCCGCATGAACACAAATCAAAAGTTCTGAAACTCAGCGGCCGCTCCGGAGAGGGCCGGAACGCGTTGAGAGCGTGCCAGCACGCCCTGGAGCGACGCGTCCTCATCCTCGAGCGTGCCCGACCGTGGCCCCTCTATCCAGCCCCCTGGTCTTGGGCTGCTCCTGGACCCGGGGTGGCGTGTGCCGGGACAGTCGAGCAGGCCCTGTGTGGTCGGAACGTGGCCGCGAGAGCACGGATCACAGACACGATCCCCCTCGCCAAAGGCCCAAGGCACCATGGCGAAACCAAAGCAGAACGCGACCTCGGATGCAGAGCCCAAAGCACGACGAACAGAAGTGGACCCCTCCACAGCCAGGGCTGCTCTTGAGCCTCGTGCCACCTGCAGCCAGGCAGATCGCATCCTGGCGCGCGACAGGATCTTGGCGCGCCCCTCTTGCACCCGGCCCTGGCCCGCGGCCCTGATTACCGCGCCACCCCCAACCCCCCGCCAGCCGCGAACGTTGGGAGGGCGGGCGCGACAGCTGTCCTGGCGAGAGGAAGAACTGGCGGGCGCTGGAGGGGCCGCGGAAGCAGCGAACTCGCAAGCCATGGAGCTTCGCCGACTCTGCGCCTCTTTGGCGCGCTCATTATGCAGGGCTGCGTCCTTCAGCCAAGTCTCGGTCACCTCCGCGGGGCGCGATGCGCGGTTGCCGTCGCAACCTCGCGAGGCCTCCTCGGGGAAGGGCATCTCTGCGGTCCAGGTCGCGGCGCGCAAAGCACGATCATCTTCGCATGCCCTGGGGGTGACCTCGTTCGTCCAACAAACAGCCTCCAGCACCTTGCAGTACGCGCAGGTCGCTCGTCCGCCGCTGACACTCCCCAGCTCGGCTGCAGGTCTATGAAGCCTCTCTCCTGACTTGGGCTTCCACCCCCAACCATTCTGAGGGGCAACGGAAATAGAGGACGAACGAACTGCATAAACATTAGCTTCCGGAGCTCCGCACGGTTGTCTTGGATCTGCGCAAGGGCCCCATGGCTGCGCCTCTGGCGCCACCCCTGGCGCGCTCCGCGCGCAGCCGAGGGGGTCCATCGCAGATCCAAGAAATCCGCGCAGAACTCCAGCAACTTGTGTTTATGCAACTTGTTCATCCTCGAGGCCCAAGGGACCAGCTCAGGGGGGGAGCATCGAGCTGGAATCGGCGCTACATCGCCCATAGAGCGGCGATGCGCCCCCGACGGCGAATCCACACGCTACTGGGCGGGGTGGGCTATCGGGCCCATATCGGCGATAAGTGGGCGACGGGGGGTCGATGCATCCCCCTCTGAGCCCCACCCCCGCCCCAAACATTGCCCCTGGCCCCTGACGTCCGCGCCTCGTGGCTTCGTCCTGCCGTTGCTGCTTCTCTCGCTCGCGGCGCGCCCTTCCTCGCCAGCTGCCCGAGGCGCTTCGCGGGGGCCGTATCCCTATCCACGCCCTCGCGGTCTGCACTCCGGGGCGCGATCCCGCGGCTGCACGGTCGCACGGATGCGTTCCGCCCGCGGCAGCCGCGAACAGACGCCCCGCAGCCGCGGGGTCGCGGCCCAGGGGGCTGGCCCGCGAGACCGCGGGTACGGATAAAGTCGAGGTTGATTGTAGAGGGCACGCGAGAGGACACAGGACCATTCCGACGGCCCGTAGGAGTGTAGCTGGCATGGGTCGCGAAACACAGGACACCAGGGCACTTCGATCTGGCAGGGTCGACCCTGCTGATCAGCCTCGGTTGTATGCCTTTCGCCCACGGTCTCCGACACCTGCTCGGGTGGGCCTTTCGAGCACGTGCGGAGCAATGCGCGCGGAGAGGCCGAGTTGAGGCTGCAGCCTGGCGCCGGTGGCACACGAGCGGCAGGGCAGGAGGCGGGTCCTGGGCATCGGGGGTCGATGGTGGCAGCGAACAGGAGGGGGCCACCTCTTGTCGGCCTCGAGCGCGGTTGGGTTGACCACTGGCTGGGGCTCGAGCTAAACCGTGTTTCCTGTGTTCGCTTTGTTCTCTTTTTCCTTGGCTCTGTCTTCGTTCCGCCTGTGTCGCCAAACCGGCATTGAAACAGCGACGGCCCGCGAAATCACCAACACACCATTTCGCTCGAGCCCTGCCACCCGCATGCGTGATTGAGCGTGGCTCCACAGCGAGCGAATCGCTTCCACAACCGGAGCAGCAGCAGAGACTGGCCCCCCCCAGAGCAGCTCGGAGCCTTCTTGAGCTTCGTGGAGGTGGCCGTCTGTCCAGTGCCGCATCGGGTCCTCCACAGGCCGACCCCTGTGAAGGGTCTCAAGAGCTGTGGGGTGTGGCATGAGGAGGCGAACCGGAGGAGAAAGAGGAGGAGGACGATGGGGAGGAAGAGGACAAAGGGGATGAAAGGAGAGGGAAGCTGGGAGACCAGGGACACCGAGGAAAAAAGAGGGGGAGATGGGATCCGAAGGAGGGTGAGAAATGAGGGGGCAGACGGCGTGGAGCGAGACTGGTGCTGATGGAAAGGGATGAAAGCCAGGTGAGGAGGAGAGATCATAAGTCGGACGACAAGGGGGGTCAGAGAATGAGCTCATGTACCCAATTGGCTGGTCTCCCCAGAGCCGCCAGGCGCGCCAGAGGCGGCCACGTATCGAGGAGAGGGCCCCTCTGTGGAGCCGAAGCAGGCTGTATGCAGCACGTGTGGCCCTCGGCTTCCTTTCCCCCGTTCGGCGGGCCCCGCTCCCACGCCCCATTCCCGGCCCCCCCTCCCCCCCGTTTCCCAATCCCTTTCCATGGAGGCCTCCCAGATGGGGTCGGAATAGATGGGGGCGGGGAATCGCGCCGCATCGTCGATGTATCAACGATGCATCAGCGATGCGTGGGCGACGTCGGCGATGCATCGGCGACGTCGGCGCGCAGAGGGCTCCACATCGAACCGCACCGCCGATGCACAGGCGATGTGTCGCAACCATCCGACCTCATTTGCCCGGACCGTATCTGGGCGGCCTAGATCCTCCCACCCCTCCCCGTAATCTCGACTGCTTCCTGTAAGGTGGGGAAGAGGAGGAGGAGGAGGAGGAGGAGGAGGAGGAGGAGGAGGAGGAGGAGGAGGAAGAGGAGGAGGAAGAGGAGGAGGAGGAGGAGTGCGGGTACCCTGAGGAGGAGGAGGGGGAGGAGGAGGAGGAGGAGGAGGAGGAGGAGGAGGAGGAGGATGAGGAGGACGGGAGGAGGAGGAGGAGGAGGAGGACGAAGAAGAGGAGCAAACGTAACTGGCGGCCACGTTCGTTCGTCTGCTGGGGCGGGCCTGGCCTCCACTCGCGGCGGGGCGGCGGAAGGCGCGGCGGCCGGCGGCGGAGGCGCTGTAATATGTGTTCGGGTCCGTGACGAAGGCGCCCCTTTGCAAACACTCCGGCTTCGGCACCGCCTGTATCCGAGGCTATGTCTCCTCTCGGCCTCGCTCTGAGGCTCCGCCGCTTCCTCCCTCCTCTTCTTTGCCTAATTCAAGCTTCGCGCGGCCCGCTTAGCTTCGACTGGAAGCGGTGGCTCTCGACCCGCGGATCAAAAAAAGTGCTCGGGTCCGTGACGCTGAAGTCCTTCATGTGGCAGTACGTGAAGAAGGTGATGTCCACGCGGCTGGCCGAGCTGGCGATCCCGTTCTCGCCGCCATCAGAGTCGGGGCGGGCGGGGAGGCCCATGTCCGTAGCGGCGCTCACGCTCATCAGGCCGCGGGGGAGCGCGATATTGTGGGTCATCTTCGGGCACTGAAGCATGAGCAGGATGGAGTCTGGGCAGCCACATCCACACACACAAGTGAATTTGCGGGTGCGCGAGCATGCGGCCCAAGGGCGTCCATGCGCCCGAGAGGGCTGTTGGTAATAGCCCATGTCCATGAGGAGAGCGGGGTCGCCATGAGCTTGCGGTGCCGAAGCCAGCGCTCTGGAAGATCCGTGATGGGCTCGAGTATCTGGATCAGGTCTGGCTCGTCTGGCGCTGCTTCTTCCTGATGCTTCTCGTCTCCGTGCGAGACCTGCGGGTCGGACTCGGCTGGGTAGACGCGCTGGCTGCGCACCCCTCGGCAGCGGGCCCACTGCTAGACGGAGGTGGGGTGGAATGGAGTGACGTGCCCAGACGGAGAACGCACTCGGAGACGCTGCCCATGCCGCCGAGGAATGCAGGTTCCAGGGGGCTGTGTGCCATATTGGGAGTGGCCCAGGCGTGCCCGCAGGTCACGGCGGCGAGGCGACGGCGCTGAGTCCGCGTGCGAAGCAGCGACAGGAGCAGGTCGAGGCGCAGCACATGGTAGTCATACTCCACGCCCCAGAGGTGCCAGTCGTGCTTGTAGACGTTGCTGCGGACTTCCAGGAGGACGACAGGAGCCCAAGCACCAGCCCAGAGTGCGGCACGGATAAGGAGCCGCCCTCGTGCATTGCTTGCGCGCAGGACTGCTGGATCTTCACGGCGAGCATGTTTGGAACGATGGGGAAACCATGGCAGGAGGAACAGGCGGAGGAGGAGGAGGAGGAACATGAACATAAGCATGATCATTTGCCCAAAACAAAGTGCATACCAACCGCTTAAATTGCATCTCGGCCTTTGCCGTCAAAGGTGCGGCATTCAGAACGGAGCTCTTGTGGCATTGAAGTGACTGGCGCGCAAGAACACGCAGCACGAGCGATGCAACACTGTGACTCTCTGGCATGCCGAAATGGCATGCCACAACTAGCACCACGAATGCAGACAAGTCCGCTAGGAGATTGCGCAGAGGATGCGGAAGCAGCTTAACGCATACCAATCTTACCACAGCAACATAGAACTGAAGGCTGTGATGTGGCCCCGAAGCTGACGGCACGGGCAACGATGCAAACTGAAACTGACAATGCCGAGCCAGTCTTCTCAATTAGCACGGCCAGCTCCGCTGTCCACATACTGCCAATATTCTGCTCCTTCTGTTTTGACACCGAAGCTCAACTTTGTTTCCAGTGGTCCAGCTCCGCAGGCTGAACGGACGGCGGCTCCGCTGCTGCAGCCATCTCGGCCGAGGTCCTCGCGAAGCCCTGGAACATGGTCGAGATGTCGAGGGGTTCCGTGGACAACCGTGCCGAGGGGGGCCGAACAGGAACCGAAAGAGGCTGAAGACCACCACGGAGAGCATCGCCATCACGCAGGAGACGCAACTGGGCCTCGCTGCCTTCCCAGCCCATGACCGCGCCGCCACCCCGATTGTCGAGCCTCTTGCCTCTTGCGGCGACTCACAAGCGGCTGCCGCGTCCCCGCATCCTCGCGGCTTGCTGCCCAGTGCTTCATCTGGTCCTCGGCCTCCTTGATGTAGTCGAGCTCGGCACCATGATTGCCAACCGCATGCGTGCACGCAGGTGTCCCGCTGTCGATGCTCGTCGCCACTTCATCGCCCCCTACTGAGGGCAGCGTCTCAGGAGGAACGGTATGCATCTTCATCTTGCAGTCGGTGGCCGTGCCCAACTCATCGCTCCCTTCCGAAAACAGCGTCTCGGGCGGAGCGGCATGCGCCCTCATCTTGCTGTCGATGGCCGTCGCCACCTTGTCGCTCCCTTCCGAAGACAGCGTCTCGGGCGGAGCGGTTTTCACCACTGTTTTGCTGTCGATGACCGTCGCCTCAGCGCCCCCGTGCGAGGACAGGCGGAGCGGCATTCGCCACCTTCTTGCTGTCGATGGCCGTCGCCACCTCATCGCTCCCTTCCGAAGACTGCGTCTCGAGCGGAACGGCAGCCTGGTGTCTCCCAGCACAGCGGCACGGCGCCCACGGCCATCGGCAAAACTCCCATCCCACGGTCACGACCGACTCGGAAATTCGCCGGCCCAACGGGCCAGAGGCGTGCTAAGATCTCCGGTGACTGCTTTACAATCTTTCTACTTCGCGCGCGCGGGGCGGCCCCTGGGGGCCCCCAGGCGGAAAGTACCCCGGCAAGGTCCCGAGAGAGTCCCGGGAGGAGTCACCAGGGCGCTCCAGCAGCGCACCAACGCGGCTCCGAGACGTCCCCGAGAGCCCCAAGAAGGGCCAAGAGGCTTCCAAGAGGCCCCCAAGATGCTACATGAGGGGTCCGAGATGCCACAAGATCGCTCCAAGACGCCCACGATGGCCCCCAGACGCCCCAAGAGGCCTCCAAGAGCACTCCCGAGAGGGCCCCAAGAGGCAAAATTCACTGCTTTTCCTTAGGTTTTGGAGAGATTTTGGCGTTTCCACCTTTTCGGCTTCACGACACCCCAAGACGGCCCAAGAGGCCCCCAAGACCGCCCCAAGAGGGCCCAAGAGGCCCCCAAGAGGGCCCCAAGACGGCCCAAGAGGGCTCCAAGACGGCCCAAGAGGCCTCCAAGACGGCCCAAGAGGGCCCCAAGAACGCCCCAAGAGGGACCCCAGGGGGGGAACACGAAACAATATTTCGAGCCCTCGGCCCTCAGAAGTCCCCAGGAGGCCCCAAGAGGCCCCTAAGAGGCCCCAAGAGGCCCCCAACAGGCCCTCAGGAGGCCCCCAAGAGGCCCCCAAGCGGCCCCAGGAGGCCACCCAAATGCCCCCCCGAGCACGCAAGCAAGTGCCAGCGACGCTACACTATGGGCCGGCGGAATGAGCGAAGCGATTCAATAAAGAAAGCCGCGGCGCCGCAATAACACCGCGTGCCTCATGCGGGGGGCTCTCAGCCTGCGCCCTGCGGAATGAAGACCGCGGAGTCCGTGTGCAGCTGCACGCCCGGCGCCGAAGAAACAGTGCGGCCGTGCAGCGCTCGCCGCGGGCTGGCAGGAGTCCCGAGCGCGCCGTTGGGCGGCTCGCCGCTCGGCGTGGGACCGCCAACGCCGCGTCTGGCCAACCATCCATGGCCGACCTCCCGTAGCCAAGCACAGATTCTGAACCCTTTGTTTTTTAGTCGGTGGACGGACGGTTCCAGCGAAGGAGCGAAGCGGCCGTCCACAGTCCGTCACGTGCCGCGGGGAGGCACAGAGGCACCTGGGCTCTCTGGCGAAAGCTCGAGCCCAAATGGCTGCCGCACGGCCCGGCCCAGCGGCGTCTGGAGCTGCGCGCCGCAAAAGCAGCCTCGCGGTCTCCAGCCTTCGCTTTCTCCCACTGGACCTGGCAAGATCCTGGTCTTGAACGTCCTGGTTCACGGGGCCCTGGGGAGAAGTGCAGCTCCCCTGTCCTGACAGGGAGCCGTGGCTGTCTGCCTGCAGCCTGCGGGTGGCCCGGATCGTCTGGAGAATCTCCTCGCCCGCGCGAGCTCCCCTCCCGCCAAATGGCCGACTCTGAAAAGAGCCCTGGGGGCCC